TGCTCCAGGCTCCTTAATCTTCTTGCCAAGAGCCTCATAGTCACCTCTGATCTGCTCAGTGACATTTCTGGCCATATCATTGGTGCCTACATAGACAATCAGGAAGGGGTAATAGTCCTATGAATGGATGAGCTTTGGCAGTCTCTCTGTGATGTCCTGAATTTGGGCAGGCAACCAGGCAGAAAACAGACCACCCAGGCCCCCAAATCTGGACAACAAATAGGTGCCTCTCTTCCCCGCAGAAGGGAGTCACCAACCACTACAACTCTTTTTTTCCTTCTTGGTGCAGTGGTCCTGGAGCCCACTGCAGCACAAAAAAGTATGTTTATAAATGCCCTCAGTCACTCCAGCAGAAGGAGGAAAGAAAAAGCTAGAGAGAGAGAAAGAGAGAGAGGCAAACACACACCATAGGGGGAAAAGGAAATAAAAACAAAAAACCCAAACAAACCCACACACCAGGCAATAGGCAAACACTCTAGCAGCAATCAGCCATCCTAAGTCACTAGCACAGAGAAAAGCCTCTTCAAGGCAGTTCCACACCTGAGCTGCTTACTCCAGAGCAACTGCTCTCTGCTTACTGGTTAGCTTAGGGTAGCCAACTTTCAGAAAAAGTAAACATAGACAATAATATTCAACGCCAGATAAAATCTACCAATGCTGCCATTGGTAGATCTCCAAAATCATGTCTTCAGTGATCATGACATAAGGACCTATGCCAAACTTCTTGTCTAGCAGGCTGATCTCAACCCTACCCTGTTGTATAGGGCAAAGTACAGACAGTTAAAAAGCATGAGGCTGAATTGATTAAATCTTTGCAGGTTAGTCTAAGCTGAGTAGTTTGAACCAATAAGCAAGTGAACAAACTTTTGATTCCGGAAATGCAGCCACATGCCTGCAGTGGCCCAGGCTGGAGCAGACAGCTTGGGTCAAGACAAGGCCACCCATCCTACAAGGCAAGGTTTGCTGGGGAGGTGCAAGGCATCCCAGGATGCTGGAGGACTGTGAATTAATTTAAATCAGGAGGGGATCTGGGACAGAAGTTCAATAAACTGATTTAATCTAAATAAATTAATACTACATCCATCTAGGTTTATCTTAAACCAGTTTCAGCCATTTTGAAAGTTGATGTGCACTGAACTTCTGTTGTGTTACAGATTTGAATCAGTTTCCAATCACGTATACTGGTTTATGTATAATTTCTGTCCCTAGTCCAGGTGTGAAACTTGGATGACATACTAGAAACATCTGAAACCTTTGGAACATTACGATCAGTGATGCCTTCAGAAAATCCTTCATATCACTTGGAAAGATCAAAGAGTGAATGCCAATGTTCTGACTCAAGCAAACACCACCAGTACTGAAGGCATACTTATATGGCACCAACTCCATTGGACATGCCATGCCATAAGGAAGCCTGATAACTGGCTCCCAAAACAGGTTGTATACTCCCAACTAACCAGTGGTCACTGCTGTAGACGTGGGCAAAAGAAACGACTCAAGGACTAGGGCTGTGCAAAGCTTTGGGTGGTGATTTGATTTGGAGGAGATTTGGCCCAATTCAGTGGCCGAACCTCCGAATCCAAATCAAATCGAGGGACAAATTTTAAGGTCCAAATTGATTCAAAGCTCTCCGAATCTTAAAAAAGATTCGGAGAGCTTTGATGATTCGGGCAGTCCCCAGTGGCTGTAGCAGGGAGCTGCAGCCGGTCTCTGAGCTGGTAAGTACTAGGGGCGAGGGAGGTGGGGCTGGTGGTGGGAGAGGACCTACCCCTTCCTGCTGGAACTATTTGCCATGTCTTCAATTAAACATGAAGATCTTGAATTTACCTCCTTAGTCATCTATAGACTCAAAAATGACTTCCCTATTTACTGGAGAATTTTCATCCTCATATCAAGGGACTACCATTGCCACTGTTGATTTTTTAATATGGCTGGCTAAGAAGATAATTTGGCTGCTTGCAAATGTTAAAAAAATCCCTCAAAAACTGTGCTTTACTGGAAGAAGCAGCACATTACTTTGACCCGGCTTTGTAGCATCTGAATAGATCGGGTGCTTCAGCAGGGCTTTTGGTGCTTTTATCTAAAGCTGATTCAATAAGGTATAGAGACTAACATCTGCAACATCTGGAAGTTTGGGTAGGAACTAAGGAGATGGAGGAGGTTCCTGGGAACCCAGTGTAGGGTCCAGAGACCTGAGAAAGGGGCTGAGTGCCTGGGCCTAGTCAGAGGCCAGGCCAGCCTGGAATAAGAGAGGCTGTGTGGACAGGAGCCTAGAGAAAGGCCAGGCTAGCCCAGACAGTAAAAGTCTGGGAGTCTTTGGGTCTATTGAGGGGCTGAGTGTTTGAAAGACCTAGTGAAGGGTTTTGTGGAACCCAATGAGTGGGGCAGAGTGTGGGGATCTATTGAGGGGCCTGGATGAGCCCAGAGAAAGAGGGGCTGTGTAGGAAGACTTATGGCGGGGCTCCAGGTGAGCCTAGAGATAGAAGAATGATCTATACAGGGGCCCAAGAGGGTGGACCCACAATGAAGAGAGGGCTGGTTGTTTGAGAACTGACCCTATAAACATCAACTAATCCAAGCTGGCGCCAGGGTCTAGGATGGGTTGAAGAGTGTGATATGCAGCCATGAGAGACTGACATAACCAGGAGCTTGGAGTCTCGACTGGCCTGGAGGTGAGGCCAGAGCCTGTAGGGGGCCAAAGGTCCTTGTGGGGGGCCACAGCCGAGAGGGAGGGATGAAGCGGTGGGCAGCCCAGGATGACGATGGCTGGTGCTAGGCTGTCTGAGGAGAAGAGATCAAGGACAGGGGTCTGAGAGTGAGCTGGGGCCATTATAGTAGGATTAGGGCAGCCTCCTGCAATATATATATCCATTAACATCAAGGCATGGTGGGCAAGAGTGGGGCAGTGTGCCCTTAGAACAGTGTATTACAGAATTCTTTTGGGGTGCCCTGTTACACAGATTCTCAAGGAATCCATATCTAAGCACTTGGAGGAGAAGAAGGTGATTAGGAACAGTCAGCATTGATTCACTAGGGGCAAGTCATACCAGACTAACCTGATTGCCTTCTCTGATGAAGTGACTGCCTCTGTGGATGCGAGGAGACCAGTGGATGTGGTATACCTTGATTTTAGCAAGGCTTTTGATATGGCCTTCCACAATGTGTTTGCAGGCAAGCTAAGGAAGCACAATCTGGATGAATGGACTGTAAGGCGGATAGAAAACTGACTGGAGCATTGGGCTCAGAGGGTAGTAATCAATAGCTCATGTCTAGTTGGTGGCTGGTATCAATTGGAGTGCCCCAGAGGCCAGTCCTGGGACTGGTTCTGTTCAATGTCTTCATCAATGACCTGGGGGGGCGGGGCCGGGTGGGTCCTGCTTTTGTGGGTCCTACTGCCCTTGGTTCCTGTCATTTTTGACAGGAACCAAGGGCAGATAAATATTAATTTTCTAAATTTTTTAGGGGCCCCGTGGGCCAGATAGAATGGCCTCGCAGGCCGGATCTGGCCCATGGGCCATATTTTGCCCATCCCTGGAGTACTGCATCCAGTTCTGGGTGCCGCACTTCAAGAGGGATGTGGCTAGCATTGAGAGGGTCCAGAGGAGGGCCACTCGCATGGTCAAGGGGCAGCAAGGCAGGCTCTACAAAGAGAGGCTAAAGGGCCTGAATCTATTCAGCCTCCACAAGAGAAGGCTGAGAGGGGATCTGGTGGCTGTTTACAGACTCACCAAGGGGGACCAGCAGAAATTAGGTGAGGCTCTGTTCCCTCAGGCACCACTGGGGGTTACTAGGAATAACGGCCACAAATTGTTAGAGAGAAGGTTCAGGCTGGACATCAGGAGGCATTACTTTACAGTTAGGGCTGCCAGGCTCTGGAATGGACTCCTAAGGGAGGTGATGCTCTCTCCTACCTTTGGGGTCTTCAAGAGGAGCCTGGATAGATTTTCCTGGGGTGTTATAACCCTGCACTCATTCCTGCCCAGGGCAGGGGGCCAGACCTGATGATCTGTTTAGGTCCCTTTTGACCCTAAGTACTATGAAACTATGAGTGTTGCCAGCAGATCAAGCAAAGTGATTCTTCCCCTCTATTCAGCACTGGTGAGCCCACATCTGGAGTACTGTGTTCAATTTTGGGCCCTCCACTACAGAAAGGATGTGGACAAATTAGAGAGAGTCCAGCAGAAGGAAATGAAAATGGTGAGGGGACTGGGACACATGACTTATGAGGAGAGACTGAGGGAACTGGGATTATTTAGTTTAGAAAAGAGAAGACTGAGAAGGGATTTAATACCTGAAGTTGGTTTGAATGTGGATGGCTCTAGACTGTTCTCAGTGGTAGTAGATGACAGAAAAAGAAGCAATGGTTTCAAGTTACAACAAGGGAAGTTGAGGTTAGATATTAGGAAGAACTGTCTCACTAGGAGGACAGTAAACACTGGAACAGGTTATCCAGAAAGGTCATGGAAGCTCCATCCTTGGAGGTATTTAAGATCTGGTTAGACTTCTCCTGATTGCCATGAGTTTTCAAACACGATGTCCAGTAGCTCTGCAACCACATCAGCCTTGGCTGGAATGATCTAGTTGGGGATGGTCCTGCTTTGAGCAGGGATTTGGACTAGATGACCTCCTGAAGTCCCTTCCAACCCTAATTTTCTATGATTCTACATGAGACGCTAACTGTGCAGTAGCCTAATTCTACTGCGCATTAGCATGCATGGCAAAAACCACACTAATATGCTAATGTGTAGTAGTATTAGACTACTATTCAGTTAGCATCACTAAAAAAACATGAGCGGGTGCTACTGCATAGTAGCGCCAGTTACTGTACATTGATTTAGTACTTGGATATATAAGTACTAAATTTTAATGCGCAGTAAGTACGGTGCATTAATGAATGTGTAGATATGCCCAGAGTACAAAACACCACATTTCTGTGTGCAAATGATTAACTAGAAGAAGTCCTTTCAAAGAAGTAGTGGGAAGGATTCTGTTACACCTACCTCATCATCTTGTAGGTCCTCCTCTAGCTGGAGAACCTTTTTCAGAGCAGCTGCCACCACCTTTTTCCTTTTGCATAGGAAATCCTTCTCCTGTGTACACAGGTCAAACCCTAAGCGCACATCTAGGTTTTCCTGGCTGGAAAAAGAGGATTTGTACATTATGACTTGCAGTCAGTGTTATGTCTACAATGTTAAGATACCCCACAGAGTTAAATCAATAAACTCTATAGACTTCATAACTAGGCAAGCCAATATTATCATGCCTATGTAGATAAACTGACACGAGATAAGAAACAGATAGAGTGCAATTAGGGGACACGTCCTTTAATATTTTATTTTGTTACCAAAACTACTACCACCAGTATCTGCTTGGAATGACCTTAAGACTTTTTATTATCTAAAGTTAAATATAGCTGAAGTAACTGAATTGCCAGCTTAAACTTCCAAGTGCAAAATTTAGATACAGAAGTCCACATTTTCAAAGGCTCCTTCTTAATTGCATCTTTAGAATTTTTTCAAGCTTCATTTTACTGCATTTTAATATATAGTTTAATGCATTGTATTCTTGGTTTACAAAGAAGAAAAGAGTGATCTAACATAATCAGGTAAGTACAGATTTACATAAGGCCAGCTAACTAAAAATTGAAATATCTGCAGGTATCTTCATTTCAAGTTGTGGGTATTGTATAGGGATCTGATGTTCTGCTTTGTTCTTCTATGCTTTTTCTTTATGCTAGGGTAGAACTACATTTCTGCATAATGCAGTACTATATTATCTACCTTGCAAAAGTTAAGTATAGACAGGGATTTTCAAAGTTACCTAGGAGATGCAACTACCCATTTCCCATAAATTTTAATCAGAATTAAGAACTGGCTATGCATGTAGAACAACACTGTGCCATATTATAATCTCCAAGAGACAAACATGTTCCCTTCATGTCATAAATCTTGGTTTAATAGAAAAACATATGGTGGTAAAATTTAGGATTTATTTCCAACATAAACCTTGTTTATGATTTTGACACTGGAAAGAGTCTATAGGTCAAATTCTGTGCTAACTGCAACTACATGTCCTAATACACAAGTGCTGTATATAACTTCTTCATTTAATTGAAAGTGTGGTTGAATGTTTTTCTCCTCAAACTTTTCAATAAAACTGACGACTATACTGAGAATAAGCATAGGGAATTATAAGCACTAAAGTAGGATTTTAAAATTAAACTTCTTGTCAAGCATAATGCTAACCCTAAAACTTTGATAATTTAGTACTAAAGCATCACTACCAATGACAGAATTTCAATATTACAAGCTTTCACAGCAGGTGGGAGGCAGAGAAGCACTGTATATTCATACCCTGAGAACATACGTCAGGAGAACATTTTCCAAATGTCACCTAAACTGGATACCTGCATATCACAATTATTAGCAGTATTTTATTATACAGTCTTATTCAGATACCAATAAACCGCATCAATTTATGACATAATCACCTTTTTCCACTTGAACTAAGATCAAAAGATGGCTGCTGAATAGCAGAATAAAAGGAACACAGAAAGAAACATTTAAAGAAATATAAGATATCTTACCAGTTTTTTGCTATTAAGTGTACATCAAATTTTCCATGCTGAAAATAAGAAACAGAAATATCATAAATGCTAAAGCCTTCCTTCCTCCCCACCCTCGAATGACATTTCCCTGATTGCAGTCCTTATCACAGGGACCTACCAAAATTGCAGTTTTGCATTTTTCATGTAAAATGCAAAATCAGGCAATTTCTGCAAAAAAACAGTGGGCTCTGCAATTTTGGCAGACTTGCTGGACAAAAAAAAAACTTACTGGCAAGTGGAGAAAAGGGCAGGAATCCCTGCAGTCTTGGAGCATGGGAAGAGGAAAAAAGGGTTGGTGAGAGGGAGCAAATGAGAGGCTGCCCCTTTCCTGCCATGCACCCCGAGGTGCACTTGCACCTGCTGCTGGCAATGAGCTGGGCGGGGGCTCTGTGGACCCCAATGCAGCTGCTTGTTCCCTCCTCACCACCTGCCACAGCCAGTCTGGGCTCTGGGTAGGCCCCTACCACCAGCCACAGAGCATGGGCTGCTTGCAGTGGGCAGAAGGGAAGCTGCAAGCAGCTGTACCAGGGTCCGTGGAGCTCCAGCCCAGTTCATTGTTGGTGGAGGGTTCACATGCACCTTGGGGCAGGTGGTAAGGAAGGAGATGGGGCTGCGGTGCCACTAGCCCCTTCCCTCCTGTCCACCCTGACTCATTGTCAGTGGTAGGTGCATGTGCACTTTGGGGCAGACTGTGAGCAAGGGGTTGGGGCTGCATTGCCCTCGACCCCTTCTCTGCTGTCTTCCGTTAGGGGCATACGCACCTGCCAGTGGCAATGAGCCAAGCCAGGGCTCCACGGACCCTGGTGCAGCTGTTTGCAGCCTCCCCTCCACCTGCTGTGAGCATCCTTGGCACTATGGCCAGTGGCAGGGGCCTTCCCAGAGCCTGGTCTGGCTGTGGTGTGCCAAGTACACATGTGGCTTCATGTGCCACATTCTGACCTGTGTGCTGAGGTTTGCCAACCCCTGGTTAAGAATTTAACTGAATGCTTAGATTGGTTCATAATGCATGAATTAATAGCTTCACCAGGCTTAATCAAAGTAATTAAACCATGGTTTCAGGCCATCTGCCAATCTGCAGAGAGAGGTGGGATTGCAGGCCCCTCACCGATCAGAAGTGTGGGGTAGTCCCACTGTGATAACTCTGTGAAAATGCTGGCTGGCCCCATGATCTGCCCACAAAATTGGCTGCCTGCCTCCTCGTTTTGAGTAGACGCAAATACTTATTACATCCGCAATATGCCAACTATCTGTATGATACAGATGGTTTCATGGACCTCTAGAGAATATTCACCTGTATTTCAGTGGTTCCTAATTTTTCAGGCAGGTGCACCAATCCACTGTGTTAAGCTGATGGCTTTACATAACAACTGCCTCCTCTTACTGCTTCAAGAGTTGGGTCTAGAGAAGCTCAAGCACCATTACAACTTATGGAATACACAAATAGACATTGTATGGGCAGCTGTAGTGAAGCATGTCCCAGTGAAAAGACTCAAATATAAGCTATAGACTGGAGCCTAGAATACCAGAAATAACAGCTTTGAGTATCAGACTCAACGCAGAAACATGATGTAAACTGAAACTTTAGCCTGTTATTTTGACATGGTAACAAAACAGCCCATATCTTTACTAAACTTTAGGTTTTCCAAGAACCTTGAACTATGAGATTCTTCTTCTGTTCCAGGAACTCTCTCTTGTGTATAGCTGAATAATATTCCTAGTGTGTGAATAGCATCTTAGACTCTTTTCAGCCTTTTTATGCCCAATACCCAGCTGTTTCCTAATCCTTTCTAAAACTAGGAAAAAATGTGTTCTTTTTCTTAGTTCCTTAGCAGAAAGGATCATTTGTGGTGCTGATTTTGTTCCTGTCAATGGAACAGCAATAATTGAAATGCAGTTCAATATTATTCTGAACAGCTGACAACACTTACCTCACCTACTATTTTCTGGTCAAAGGGAAGTAAATTTAGAGGCAGGTTCATAATTCCAGTGCCTTTCATTCTTACTCCTCTTGACATGCAACAACACTGAAAAACACCCAAAAGAATTACTTCCTTATCACCTTACCCTACAAAATGAAGATTCACATTTCTGTTTCTGTTAGAATTATAGAATCATAGAAAATTAGGGATGGAAAGGAGCTCAGGAGGTCATCTAATCCAACCCCCGCTCAAAGCGGGACTATCCCCAATTAGTTCATTCCAGCCAGGGCTTTGTTGAGCCAGGCCTTAAAGAGATGGAGATTCCATCACCTTTCTAGGTAACCCATTCCAGTGCTTCACCACTCTCCTAGTGAGAGAGTTTTTCCTAATATCCAACCTAAACTTCCCTTACTGCAACGTGAGACCATTGCTCTTTTTTCTGCCACCACTGAGAACAGAGAAATTGTCCCAAGGTAACGTACAAGATCGGCAGATTTCTTCTTCTTTGAGAATGTAATGTCCAGTTGTGGTTGTTTATGCTTGGCATAGTGGAATTTAACAGCATCTGTGAGGTGACAGCAGTAATCAGCGCTCAGAGGAAGGGTCTGAGTTTCTTCAAAAGATCCCTGAACTGTAAGTTTGAAGCTGTGCCCTAAAGGGAGGGAATAAAATGTACAAAATAAAATTTTACCACTACTTGTAAAAAGTTAGAGAAAGAGCTGATTCCACTGAGAATTTCTGATAGAAACCCTAGGTATACAAATGTTTACACAATTTCTCTCAGACCAAAGATGACAGTTCCTGGAGAAGATCAACCCAACTCCAATCAGAAACAACTTCTGCCAGGAGAATGAAAACTGTACACTTACTTACCTTTCAGACAGAAGCTGCAGAGCCATCCTCCAGTATCCCAGAGTGCATTGCTCTCCTCCTGACCCCAGCTCCAGGGAGGTAGTCTGTGACTCAAGCTGGACTCTGCTACACCAGCTGATCATGGAGCAAACCCCTCCCCCTGACTGCCTTGGGACCAGGAAAGTTTTTCACCAGCCCTGTGCTGCACTCCAGGACTACAGGGAGACACAGAGTATTGGGACAGCTGCCCCCTCTGCACATGAACCAGACCCCCAGACTCCTACACCCTCGTACCCCTGAGATCCAGACCCCCACACCATTGCTCTTCCATCATAGACTGCTGGAATAGAAATCAACATGCCTGCGACTGACAAGACAACAAACTCACTCTGGGTCTCTTCTCTCAAAGCCTCACAGCAGGGAGATCAACCAGGGGAACCCTGCAGAGCACTCTGGAATGCATGTACAGGGGCCCTGGATGTGGGCTGCTGGAAAAGCAGGCTGTGTGTGCAGCATCCATCTGGACCCTCTGTCATTTGTACAGTGCTCTCCTGGTAGGTTTTCTTACCAGGGGAACAAACTGCAAGAATTCTTGAGGTCTATTGGAACACTTGTATGAACCCACAGGCTAAAGGTAATTTAATATAATAATAAAATGAACACTATTCATTACAATAATTCTATGGGCAGTAAGTCTGACTGCGTTCATTTTCTCAGGTAAAAGTGCTGGATACCAATGCCAGCATTCAAGAGTATTTCTCTAAGCCTGTCAGTTAGTACAGTCGCAGACATAATGTTACTTTAAAGTAGTATGGTTTTTATAACCAAGTATAGAAACAGTTAATAAAGCTACAGGTTTCCCTTGATTTATGTGCATGTGTTCCCAGAGAACAGTGCATAAATCAAATTCGCATAAAGTGGACCCATTTTACAATGTAACAAATAAGGATAGATTCCCATGGCGGTGAGGGAGGGAGTGAGGCTGCGACCAGAGAAGGGGTGGGGGGAGGGGTGCCTCTCCTGGGGCTGCACAAGGCAGAAAGCAGGGGGAACAGAGTGGCACTTACCCCAACCCCAGCTGCAGCGGCCCCGGGAGAGGCCGGTGCCAGCAGCCTGCAGCCACTGGGCTGCACCGTGGTCTGCCTGTCCCCCGCCTGTCTCCACTCACCTCTGCTCCTGGGCTGCACCATGCCTTGGTGCAGGAAGCTGGTGTTGGCTGCTCCCAGGACTGCTCCATCATGTGCTGGGGTGAGTACGGACAAGCAGAGCCCTGGGTGGTGCGG